TACTGGGTATTCTTGCTAACTTGTGGAAAATTCTCATTTTACCTGAAAGTGTTCTACATATTTAAGCAAATGCACAGTGCTGCTTCTGAGAAATCCCTCTCGGTGCCGAAAGACTTGCTGGTAGGCCTCATCTGGGTAACTCGCGCATCTCCTGGTTTCTGTCTTCCTCCAAAGACCCACGCACTGGTGTGGCTGCGATACCACCTGTAGCTGGGGGTGTGCGCTCAGTATGTGTGCAGTCCGGGGTGCAATCCCAGTCCCTCCCCAGGTCACTGTTGAAGCAGTAACTAAATACTTCTTTATGACTGGCATATTTTCAGGAAAAAGCTGCTTCTCTGTATAAGCAAAGCTTTATGTTGAGAAATCAAATGTGCAGGGAGCCATGTCGTGTTTTGCTTGCACTCTTTCAGAAAATCTAGTGCAGCAAACTCCCAAAGACCTGCAGATCTAACCCCACACTGTAGATCTGGAGTTCATCTTTTGCAGATGATAAAGACTGGACAGTTTTCCCCTTAGTATCCGAGGAAGGATGCTGGCAAGAGAAGGTTAGTGGTGAAGGTATTTTCAGGGAGGCTCTGGCTTTATCGAAACGATTTGCTCAAGGTCAAAGAACCAAGCTAGGAGCAGACCTTGGCAGTAACCATTGAACAAGCTTAGGCCTCTGTAGCCCTCAAATACGGCCAGAACTCAGGATTTTGTTGTATTTTTTTTTCCTTCTAGATTTCAGAAGAGAGCCCTAGAAGCACATACTGACTTGTTCCTACAGACGGACAGAAGGGGAAGTCACCATAAGCCTGTGTCAGCAGCTGCCGCTAAAGAGAGGACCAGCCTTTGTGCTAAAACGCCTCCAAACTTGAAGAAAGACACTTTTTGCTAAGAAGTTAGTTGGCATAGTTATCTCGATTCCTCTGTGTGTTGGGGTGTACATGAAGAATACAACTCTACCACCCCCATCACTCGGAATAAAGATCTCTCAGCAATCCGCTGGGGGAATCCAAGCTTGTTTTATGTATTTCTAACTTGCTTGTAAACAGCCCACTTGTTCCTTCCTTGTCCCCCCCACCCCCCTGGTACCAGGAATCGAACTCACGACCTTGCGCTTGCCAGGCAGGCGCTGTGCCTCTGAGCTAAATCCCCATCCCCATCCTTCCTTGAAATGCACAGGAAATGCCTGTAGCTTTGGCAATCAACTTCCCTTCTTTTTCCACACTCCTGGTCCCAAAGCGTGTACTGACCATGTGAAAGCCTTTACCCATCTTCTCTCTTCGCTCTCGTAAACACTCGTGGCCACATTTTGTATAGACTAAAAACAGTTCCATTTTTAATCAGTTGGCTTAGAAGCAGCATATGTGACCTTTGTCAGATATCCTTCAATACCCAACTTCTTCTAAACTTCTATCGTGACTGTTTTGTGACCTCGTTTTTTGAGACAAGGTCTTGCTATGTAGTCCAGGCTGATCTTGAAATCATTACGTAGCTTAGGCTGGCCTTGAACTGGTGGTGATCCTCTTGCCTCATCCTCTCAAATGCTGGTATTATAGGAAGAAAAGTTAGACAGAAATAAGTATAAGGTACAGTCAGAGAGGGACTGGGTTTTCAAGGAAATCAGCAGAAAAAATAGACATCAGAATTGTGGTTGGCACATCTGAAGGAGTCCAGGCCTCAAAATAAAGATGCATTGGGATATGGTGGTGCACACCTGCAATCCCAGCACTTGGGAGGCTGAGGCAGGAGGATCGATGTGAGTTCAAGGCCAGCCTGAACTGCAGAGTGAGACCCTGTCTCAGAAAGACCAAAAAAAAAAAAAAAAAAAAAAAAAAAAAAAAAAAAGTGATGCAATCTCCTGAAGGGATAAATAATAATTTTGAGATTATACTGTAATCAGCACATCTGGTCCAGTAAGTCCAGATAGGCATCAGTGGCCCAGGTGGGTGACCAGAGCATCCGGACCTATCTCTTGCTACAAATGCGTTTGTTCTTGCCATGCACCCTTGCTATGTGCCTCATTTCCCTACTGGATCAGTATCAGCTAAGTGGCTAGATATACTTGTAATCCTGTAGGTTGATGGCAGTGTCATCCACGTTGTACCCACACTGTGACAAAGGGCCTTGGTGGCCACCCCACTTGGGACCCCTCCTGAACATCCAGTAGCCCTTCTTCTCTCCTCACCCCCAATAAAACTTTGCTAACATCTTCCTTTGGCATGTGGCTTTGTTCCTCAAGGCTGTGGGACTATGGACTGGGCACATCTCACCTCGAGCAGGTTGGGAGTGGTATTTCTCCTGTGTCTCTGGGATTAAGACCTGTTCCACAAAGCCATTCTTGTCATTGTGCACCAAGTCCGTGAATCAGGTTTCCTGCATCTGAACTCATTATCTGGACGCAGCGGTATGAGAACTGGGGGCAGGAGAAACAGCCTAAAAACCAAAGGGCGGGAAATTACAGCCAGGATTTAACTAACTTCCTTCCTTCCTTCTGTCCTTCCTTCCTTCTGTCCTTCCTTTCTTCTGTCCTTCCTTCCTTCCTTCCTTCCCTCCCTCCCTTCTCTCTCTTTTGAAGGGTGTTATGGTTTGTGTCTGTGTGTCCCCCCAAAGCCTCAGCGGCCATGGGGCAGGTTTTTACAGTTTGATGGATTACGGGTGTGAGAGCTGCACCTGCCCTGGGGTGGATAGTTTGCGTATGTAAGGGAGAGGAAGAGGCTGCTTGCAGCCATTCCTCCCTTTTGTGCTTGTTGCTTTGGCTGTGTTCTGCCGCCCTGAGCTGTAGCCCTCTGCCATGTGCCACTCTGCCTTGTAACCTGCCAAGTATGGACTAAAACCTCCACAAACTGTAAGCGAAATAAACCTTTCCTTCCTTAATTTTGGGCATCAGGTATTTTGTCCCAGCAATGAGAGAAAAGTAACCAAGACAAAGGGTCTTGCTAGCTAGTCCAGGCTGGCCTTGAACTCACTATGTAGCCCTGGCTGGTTCCAAACTGTGATCCTCCTGCCTCAGCTTCCCAAGTGCTGGGCTTACAGGGGTGCAACACCCTGCAGGGCCTACCCATATTGATTTGAGTGTCTACCATTGTTCTGGGCTCTAGTGAACAAAACAGACACAATTCTTCCCCTCCAGGAGCTTAAATTCTAGTGGGAGGAGACATAACCCCATGAATATTTTACAGAGAACATTAGTAAGTGATCCTGGCTTTGAAGAAACACAGAGCAGAGAGTGCAGGGAGCGGCGTCTGCACGTCTAGAATAGGGTGGCCTTCGAGCACAGCTGTGAGTGTGGGCTGTGTGGACTGCAGGGACAGAGCACAAGGCCGGCTCAAGGTTTCAGCGGGAATCCCTGGGAGCGACTGTGGACCGCAGAGGAAAGCCCAGGAGCGGCCAGGGGCGGGGCCGCCGCAGAGGGTCAGAGCTCCTAGGGGGTTGCAGGGCCTCGGCTGTTGTGTGAAGGAAGGGCAGGGCGGATTCAAACAAGGGAGTCGCGGGCCTGATTTAACAAGATCCCGGGCTGCCAGCCTGAAAAAGGGAGAAGCCATTAGAAGGGCCAGGAGTTCACATCGGAAATGTTTGATGTTTGCGACCGTGCAGGACAATGTGCTTACAGAGCACAGAGACATGCGGGACACGACTTCCCCCAGCGTTTAACTTGTGAGGAAAATGCTGTCGTGCGGCTACTCTGCCTTCCCTTCAGATGCAACTGGACCGAGCCCCAGGCTTCCCTTCTCCCGCGCCCCTGTGAGCCTAGCAGGATTTGCTCCGTGTCACGAAGAAGCACCTTTTCTAGGTAGAGGGGAGACCAGGGTGAGACAAGAGGCAGAATAAAGGTGGGGAAGGTCGTAGGGGATGGATCTGATCAAAATATACGCAAATACGAACATACCCCACATGGAAACCCAACATGATTAAAATTAATGTAAAACTAATAAAACATACCTAAAAAAAGAGGAATGAGGCTTTATGGGCCTGCTTCAGATGCTGATCTCCTCTTGTTGCCAGACTTACCTGGCTATCGGTTAGAAATACTAATTCTAACCAAGCTGTAATCCCAGCACTCGGGAGGCTGAGGCAGGAAGATCACTGCGAGTTTGAGGCCAACCTGGGCTATACAGTGAGTTCAAAGTTAGCCTGAACTACACCGCGAGACCCTCTCTAAAAAAAAAAAAAAAACAGCTGGGCGTGGTGGCACAGGCCTGTAATCCCAGCACACGGGAGGCTGAGGAGGAAGGATCGCTGTGCGTTCGAGGTCAGCCTGAACTACATAGTGAGACCCCCCGTCTCGGAAACAAACAAACAAAAAAACAACCCGCATCTGGCCTTTTCCATTTTGTGTCCAGGGGATGGAGCCCTGGGATCTACATAGCACTTTTAGCAAAACCACGCGGGCCTCCTCTGACGAGGAAGTTCGGGAGCCTGCCCACCTGCGAGTTTGCGGCCGACCCAGAAAGCGTCACTGGGCGCGGGGCCGGCAGATGGCGCCACGGGACCGCGAGCGCGGAGGCGACGGGCGGGAGGCTCGGGACGACGGGTCGGGCACCGGCCGGCTACCCCGCCGCACGAGGGTTGGTACTGGGCGCCCAGTCGGGGAGTGGAGGTTTCCTCCTAAGCCTGGGCGCACCGTAAGCCGTTCCCAGTAGGCTTCTCCGGGCTCCGTCCCACACGCGCAGAGGAGCCTCGCGCCGAGCCCGGCCGGGATCTACTACCCAGCCCCCTGGGAGCGCCGGGCTGCGGGTCGCTCCTTCCCATTGGCCGAGAGATACCCGGCCCCACCTCCTTCCAGTCGGTGCTCATTCTTGACTGGCTCTCGGGTCCCGGTTGGCCACGCCTCTCCCCTCGCAGATACACAAGAGTCACGCGCCTTTCAGCTGGAAACTTGGCGTGCTGAGGAGGACGCTGGTCCTCATCGCCCCGCCCATTCGCCTCGTCATTGGTCTGCGGTGCCTACACGACCACGCCCCCATCCCACCCCCCTGGCTGGGAAGGCGGGCGCCCTTTCGGGATTGGCTTGACGATCTGCCTGTCGCGGGAGCGGCGGGCGCTCGCCTACCCCCGTCCTCCCCCGCGAGTCTCTAGGCTCCTTCGCCCGCCCGGGCCCAGTCGGCGTCAGTCAGGGAGGCGGACGCTCCGTCGCCGTCTCGCCCCGGGGTCGGTGTTCGCGCCGCCGGGGGGAAGGATGCAGCCGCTGCCGGAGCAGCCGCCCCGTGATTGGCTGTGGAGCCTGTGAACCCGGAGTAAAGATGGCGGGCGGGCAGGCCGCCGCCGCTCTGCCCACTCGGAAGATGGCGGCGCGCCGCGGCCTCAT